AAGTCCTGCATTTTTTTACCACTGTTGAAGGAGCTTTGGTTGCTTCCTTTTTTCTTCGTCATGGTTCGCTGGAAAGAGCAAAATATGAAAAAAAATTACCTTAACTGAACTTGTTGTTTACTTCTTTGATTGAGGTGGAAAATGTTTGCAGTTACAGTCAAAACAGTTGTCGGCAGAAACTCTGTTTCATTGCCAGTTTTCCTCTCTAACAACAACTCAGCGGCAGTAAACCAATGAGAAAAATGAAAAAGGAAAGAAAAAAAAGAGCGAAACTGCTTCCTACTAACGTCTAAGTGAATAATCATTCTAATTAAGAACCGCTTTGTTCTCAAAATTTGCTTTCCATATATCTGAGCTTTATTCATACTTAAATTTTTCGCCCCTTAATATTCCCGAATTATTTTATAGGCAGCTGTTCGAGTAGACGGAAGCTATGCAGAATAATGAATTTTGAAAATGCTAACAACGTGTAACAGTAATCATTTGTTAGTTTTGCTTTTTTGCTATGTTTTTCTTTGATTTGATGAAACAAGGTGTAATTGGAAGAAGAATCTCCATGTGCTTTTCCAATTCCAAGGCCGTTTTGAGTCTGAAATACATATGGAAAAGAAAATCTCCTCTTAAAAAAATTTTCATCCCTTCATTTCCGCCTTTGATTTTTCTTTTTGATGTTCGCTTCATTTCCCATAACATTTAATAACGCGTATCCGTACTTGGCTGGGAGCCGACAATAGGATAATCTGAGAAGAAAGAAGCAAATGAAGGAATGAAAAGGCAAAAAAAATACTTCAAAAAAAAAAAGGAAGAAACGACAAGGAACGGTAGCTACTAAAATGATAAATGATTGGTATTTCTTGCTTTTTGTATTCCTCAAATTTTGATAGCTTTCCAGATGCAGAATAAAGATTAAAATAATGAAGAAAAGGATAGAACAAATTTTGTTTGTTCAATGTGATACTAAAATTAAAAAAGTTCCCTTTCTCTACAAAACCGAGTCGTATGTGACAGTCTAAGTGTTACTTTTTTTTTGTCTGATAAAACTGCACTGCCGTAACCTGTGGTATTCTATGTTTACCGCTGCTTCACCTAAATCTGTAACTTCAATTCCTTCTTTATTTATTTTTTGTTAGTTAAAACTACCGCAGCTTTATGGTCGACATATGGTGACAAATTGTATTTCAAGCTTGCCACTAGTTTCCATCACTTTCGAATAAATTGGACAGAGCAGCAAAAAATCTTTTTCAACTTTTAATGCATATTGTTAGAAGCATAAATGCCAAAAGTTGTCAAACTTTATGAGTGTTTAGCATCATATGCAGTAATTAAATTAATCAAATAAGAAACTATTACTCACTAGTCACTCTGAAAGAATTGAGTTTTTACTCCCACTATATCCTTAAAATTACTTGAGCAAATGGCGAACAAGTCCTCACAGTAGATCGAGGAGTAAATAAATTTAAATAAATTTTAGAACTTCAGCACCGGCGGCAGGAAAGCGTGAGTAATGGCAACAAATTTGACCTGCCAACAAGTTTTCAGTAACCAGATCCATTTACGAGCAGTACAGCGTTATTGCTAAAGAACACATGAATTTTTTAGTCCATCTCAGTGAATTGTTTTGCTTGGTCGTATGGATCGGGAGTACCACAAAAACACAAGACTTATTTTGAAAGCAATGAGTTAACACTTTGCTAAATATTCATTGGAAACTCTGTTCTACTTCAAGTCTGAAGTGGGGGAGTTTTTTTGTAACAATGCTAGTACGACTTTACCAAAATCTAAACTGTGCGCTGTTATATTTTTATTTCTATATGCGTTCCAAGTTCTTAGATGCAAAGACAATTTACGTTTGCAAAATTGGGAAGGAAAACCAGAAACATTCACGAGAAATTCTACATTATATTGAGGAATACTGTTCAGTTTAATTGTTCAAAGACTGCTGCCTGACCGTTGTGAACTACTTGGTCTGTCAAGCGGGACCGTGAATCGTGAAAACGCTCCTATTAAAAACACCTCGACTTCGGATGACTCAAGTTGGTTCGAGCACAGTAACAAATACGTAAAACGGAGAAAATGGATGTGTATTTTACAGCTGAGATTAAAAAAAGTAGGCTGTGAGTTATAGTACTATAAAGTAAGGTTTACAAAAACGAATCAAGAAAAAAACGACTTTTAAGTACTCGACTTTCTCTGCTTTTATGAGAAACCACCATCATGATAGACTTTGATAAAATTCTTATCGATGAACCCTAAGGCTATGGAAACCATTGAAAACTTGATAAGGCCACCGGGGACCTCAAAACTAAAATTTTTTAATATAAGGGCAGTAATTTTTTATACGTCTTGTTAATTTCTAAAAACCTCAGTTTTTAGGTGCAACGGACTAGCTTAATGATCGCACCAATGTTTCACTCTAAAAGTTTATTCCTCATTAGTGTGAATAATCGTCTTTTAACGAAAACCTTAATGATATTTGTTCTTTACCTATAGTATAGTCAATTTTCAATGGAAAAACCTAATTTAATTTATGTAAACAGAAGTTTTTTAATCTAGAAAAGTTCGAAACCTATTCCTGAAACGAAGTGAAACTCAAAAATCTGCTTGTTTTCTTACTTTTCAAGGGTTTTTTTTAGCGTATAGCTTCTCAGCCTTGTCTTTATTATCAAGCAAAAAACTTCTTAGAGTCAACGTACACTGTTTTGCTACTAGTCACCGGGAAAGACAATAATATTTTAACCAAAGTTTACCTGTACAGATACAACTTTGAAACAAGCGCAGTCAAAAATAATTTCTAAAAAAGTCTTTACTTTCAAAATTTTGTATTGATCACCTCTGCAGTATATCCCCAGGTGCAAAATCTGATTTTGGAAAGTAAGTTTCTGCTGTACAACACACTTTCACGGTGATAACATCCACACCTAATTCACTTTTTTTTTTGTATTTCAGTTTCCGCAGCTTTTCTACACAATCTCTCAGCTGAATTAAACCTTTCTAAAATAGATTAACTTTATATAGGCAATTTTAGTTGAGCTGATGTTGAACCAGCAAAGGAACGAAAGTGAACAAACTGAAAATTGTTCAGAATTAAATACAAATGTAACCATTTTGTGAAAAATTGTTGCCCTATTATGAAACTCATCAAAAGGTATTTCACCTTTTACACTGCTTTTTGAAAAATGCCTACTGCTGCGCTGACCATGGTTGAAAAACAGGATAAATTGAATTTGTACTGTGAAATTTAACCAGCACCATTGTACGTGAATGACAAGTTCGGTCAGTTTAACAAACAGTCGAGCTACAAGCGGCCTTTCTAGATAAATTACCTATGAAATGTACAAGCATGATAACGCCAAAAAAACTTTCGTCTGATGCAATGTTTACAAACCTATTTTCAAATCATAGACACAAGAAATTTTCGTTGACTAGCTTAGATCAATACTTAAAATCTGATTCAATCATCACTTTCCTCCTTTATTACTTCATATAATCATCTTAAGCGACAGATTAATGGTATTTTAAAACGCTAACCGTTGTACACAAACTACACCTACGATATAATAGAAGAAAACGTTTTGTAACCCTTAAAAAAAAAGACATTTACCTCCTCTTTCCTTCTGTGTCTCTAAAAACATAAAGCAAAAAAACTTTAAGACATCTCAAAGTAAAAACCTTCAGAATATATGACTGTCAATAAAACTTCTAAAGTTGACTGAAACATACTAAATTGTATTTTTTTGTGATAAGCATTTTAAACTTTTACTTTTCTCGCTCAACACTTAAGAATTACTGTCTAATTCAACAAAATTTTTACTAATACAAATACATAAACAAAAAAAAACTTGTTTGAACAATTTGCCTTTAGAAAAAATATCTTCAAAAGTGGGAAGTTATTTGAAAGAAATGAAGATAAAAGAGACTGTTAAAGTAATCATAAAATTATAAGAGTATGCTACATTTTTGTTGTAAACATTTCATTTACCAAGATTTGAGATTCAGAAATTAAAAAACCACTGTTTAATTATGTGTTGATTATAATTATATATTAACTTCTTTTATCATTAAAATTTAGTTTTTGCCATTGAAATATCTAAAGCTTTTTAAGTTTCTGGGTTCAGATATGTCATTTTTTGCAGTTTACTGCTTGCGTCATTTTTTATCGCTATAAATACTGTTTCTTCATATAACTGAAGTAAGCACTGACAGGCAACTGATTGGTGCCAAACTTTTCTAGAATGCTATACTGAGTAATTTGGAGACAAGCGATATAGTTTTTCAAAACTGATAATCGCTTAGTTGTCAATTAATTGAAACGTCTGAAACATATCAGTGGAATAGAAACAAGCGACTGTGTTTTCTAATATTCTTTTATAACGTTAAACCTTCTCTATAAAAATTAAGATGTGTGTCAGTTCAGAATGGACAGCTTAAAAACTAGTGCTGCCACATGTATCTGCGTGTTTGACATCTGGGTTTTTTTTTTTTTGTTGAGCACTCCAATATTTCAATCGAAGGTTTTGTCAGAAAAACGCGAGAAAAGTGTTTAGAGCAAATAAATAATATGCAGCACAAATTTTATGTTCTTGTTGTTGTTACCGTTGTTATTTTTACTGCAACTGGCAATTGAAAAGCAATACGAAACATTTAATTGATAACTGTTTATTTCATAAAGCACGAAGTTTGGTCACACTTCTGAAGCCAACGATTGTTGAAATAAAGGTTTATTGAGTGAATAACGCCAAGTTGGATGACAAATAATCGGTAATGGCCGGTACCGAAACACTCCACTTTGTTTTGTATTTTTGCAGGCTATAATCAAGTTAAAAAAATTCAGTTTTCCAAAACAATTCCTGTAACGGTTTGTTTTACTTCCGTCGTCTTTTTTTTCATAAATCGCTGATAAATTGAAATTAGTAAGTGTTTTGATTGGCTTTGCGGAACACTTGTTTACCAGTATCCTTCTGGGTAAGGTGGCCGTTATTGCTTGCTAGAAAAAAAAATTAGAGGTTCATGATGAGTTTGAACTGAAGATTTATAAACGGTGAAACAGAAACCGAATTATGTTGCCTTAATTTTGGTCTATGATCTTCGTTCCGCAGGGAAGCTACATCACCTGTCTTTCAAGTTGGTAAAATCAGTGGACAGAACTCACTCCAATCGGTTTAGTGAACTACTAAATAAACAAAACCACGTCATCTGACGGGCATTTTTGTATGTCTTCGAACGCATTCTTAAGCACTTGGGTAAAAGCAACTTATAAACTTATATCAGCAAATGTGTAAAATTCCATATTAGTCAGAATAATCATCGTCTGTAAAGATTATCATTTAATGCAGGAACAGTGAGAGAAACGAAGAGACGATGGATTTGCCGGTTGTCCAATTAAACTTTAGTTAAGAAAATTTTTATCTCAGATCGTCCCTAAAAATCTGCATTACATTACCTCTAGGAAAATACTGCAATTATAATGTCGAGCAAAACTAGACTCTTTCATCATTCATTTGTTTTTCTGCGCCAAAAAGATTAGGATCTTTTAAGCAATTCAGTGTTAGCAAATATGATTGTTTGACTTTATGAGGTTTTTGAGTTGAACCAATGGTATATAAATTTATCTGTTATTTTTTGTCTGTTTTCGTAAAAATCTAAAAATAAAGTAAGAAGTTACGCAAAAAAAAAAATTGTTAAAGCTAAAGTTAAAGTTGTATACGTTGTTGATGGTACTCAGATATGCATGGCAACACATATAAATTGCCTTTGTGAGTTATATGTTGCCACAGTTAAAATTTCAAAATTTTAATAGAGTTCACAGTAGTTTACTACGTTTTTTAAAAATACATAATGATTCTACTGTGTCGACAAAAAATTACAGTGTTTCTTTTACTTTTGAAGATATCGATTTCATTTAGGTACTCTGTGGAATTTTGCAAGGAGATGACGTGACGTAAAAGAGACGTAACAGAGATAGGAAAGACGTAAAAAAAACAACTGTCTGCACAGACTGCAGTCCCCTAAATCATGAAACAATATGAACCAATTTTTTAATGAATTGCTTATTGATGAAGAGAAGAAGGGAAATACAATCACCAAAAGTTTTTATCAATTAAACATAAAGTTCATATATGACTATCAGCTTTTTTTCATAAAAAGATAAATTGGTAGATCAGCATTCAGTTTTCATAAGTGTTAAAAGCACTAAACAGTTTTAAAAAGCTAAATTCTACATCAAATTTTTGCTATATTTCAACATTAAATTGAAAAAAATCAGCAGTTTTTTAACTGCTTTTCTTTGTCTCTTTATTGTTGTTTTTACTTTTTTTGATGTTCATTTCCCAGAGCGCTTAATAATGCGTATCCGACTATGGTTGAAAACCAATAAAAGGGTAATAATTTGAAAGAAAAAGAATAAAGAGACGAAAAAATGATCTCAAGAAAAAAACCAACATTAACGAGCAATTACTGCTACTGAAAGCGATTGAGATCTTATTTTTTTCCTTCTTGTTTCTTAAATTTACACAGGATAAAAGGCTGAACAGCAAGAAGGAAAGAACAGAAGAGATTCTATCTTTTATATTTAATAACAAAAAAATAAAAGATTTGTCTTCTTCACAAAAAATTTATTTATAATGGCTTAACTTTCACCAGTTGCTGGCGTGTAAAATTGTGCTGCTGTAAGTCGTGGTTTTCATGATTACTTTTGATAGCGTTGCTCGTTTCACCGAATCTGTGACTTTTTTCTCCTCCTATCCTCACCACTTACTAATTACAATTCAAAGTGTTCAAGATAATTCAACTTTTTGGTCTATATAGGATCATAAGTTGTCTCCCAGTTTAGCCGCTAATTTCTACCATTCTTTTCAGGCTAAAAAGAACAAAATTTCTTTAAAATTAAAATTTTAATTTGTCTTAACAAGTTCAAGTTTCCAGTACACATTGAAGAAATTCCTTTAAATTTGATAAACTAAATAAAGCAGAAAATTTTTTAATTCCAGAAAGTTTTCAAATTTTTTCCAAGCGACAGGTCACATGGATGAGCGACGTAAAAGTGGTCGCTATAGACGCCGACGTACAACACCGGCGCAACGAGAAGCCGCAAATGAGCGCGAACGCCGCCGAATGGCAAACATCGGTGTAGCGTTCAAAGTACTCAGATCACATATACCAACATTTGTTTACGAGCGATCATTGACACGTATCGAAACTTTAAAGTAAGTTTTCGATCCTATATATTTACCAAACTTAGCAGTTATATCAACTTTATAATGGTATCTTCACTATTCAACTTTTCAAATGCTTGCAGCTAAGGAGTGTTATTCCATAGACGGCAGAATTTACTGCATCAAGTTGGGGAGTACCATAAACAGTTCTATTAGAATTAAGGGCGTAAAAAATGGCATCAAAACATTTGGATTAGAATTAAGAGCGACATTATAGTACGAATAAGTGCTGAAATTCTTGTATTCAAATGCGTCATTAGAAGTACGTGATGAGAGCTTCTTAAATAAGTAGGAATCAACAAGTGGAGGCAGTGTATAAATCGCCATTGTACAATAATATCATAGTAACTAAGAATGGGTGGGTCAGAGGCGTTTTGGCTTCCCGTGCAGAAACTACAGCAGCAATGCAGTATGCTTAATTGTACCCTTGATATATCAAGAAAACACTGTGTCGCAACAGTATAAGTCAAATTCGTAATCATTCTCTCGTTAGTGCAAAAAACTGAATAAAAACATTTTATTAATCATTGCAACTCAAAAATCTTTGATCAGACTGAGAGTAGTCAAGGTTTTAGTATAGCTATTTTTCTCTTCTTCTCACTAAACACTTATTTGGTATCAGTGTAACCTATGCATCATTTCCTGAAAGAAAACAGTATTTACATAGATTGTCTATACAGTTACTCAATCGATGTTTTATACTTAGCTGTAAAACGGAAATGGACTAAACATAGTCTCAGTTTAAGTGCAATAAACTTGCTAACTCTAGTTTATCTTTTCTACCCTTATTCTTCTTTTCTGTACTATACTGTAAAGAAATAAAAAAGGAAAGAGAATACTGAATAGATGTACCATTTTTAATGCTTCCTTTTAGAATGGCAATCGACTATATATATTTTATGAAATATGAACTACTTACACTACCGGTCGATGTCGCCCAACAGCTGTATGGTAACGGCAGTTCAACAACCGATTGTTTGTAATCGGTCAAAATCGGTGAAAGTTGTATTAAATTTGAATAAATACTGTTTTTTTTT